CGGTCATAGGAAAGCCGCTTTGGCGAACCGCCAATCAGCTGTTTAAATAGCTGTCTTGCGAAGCTTAGGTCCTGAAAACACCCGTTATACGAGCACGGAGGGAACTGTCAAAATCGTTGTCTAGCGAAAATTGGTTTGTGAAGCAGGGACCAAACATTGTCCAGCAAAATTCCCCCATAGGAATCACTGTTTTGTGAATCGCTATAGCAATCGCAAAAAGTCAATGTCTAGCGAAAAAAACTGTCATGCGGGGTAAGTGTCTAGCGAGGCACCACTGTACTGATGAATTTGTCAGTATTTGTCACTGGTGTATTGCCAGAGCTATCTGCGAGATTGGGTGCTTACCAATATTGGGATCATGTGGCAAGTTGTTTTAAAATGGATGTTGGATGGTGCAACCTTAATTGTTATATGACTTGAGAAGAGGACAGAGGAAACAGACAGAAATTGATGGCTGCCTGTTAGAGAGGCTTTAGAGATGGAATTTTTGCATCCATGCAAGGGGGAAACTAGGGATCTCTTCCGACTCTGTAGTTCTACCCTAATGGAAAAGTGTCTGTTGCCTGTCCTTGAATGGGGCATCCCAAGATATGTTACATCCAGAAATAATGGACAAGGTTCGTCCCGTGTTTCCCTTCATATTATCCACTGGCCTGGCAACTGAAACTGACTTCCAGACCAGCAACAACATTAGGGGAGAACCAAATGTTGAAGCTGAAGAAGCTACTTGGACGAGTAGCGAAATACTTCAGACTAACAAGATAACCAAATGTTGAAGCTGAAGAAGCTACTTGGACGAGTAGCGAAATACTTCAAACTAACAAGATAAAAGTCCAGTTGCCATGACTCAACTTCCAGATAACCCCACCTGGATGACTGAGAATCTTCACAGATATTTGGGGACAACGTTTGAAAGCTGAGGGAATTCAGGGCAGCCCGAAGACATTAGACAAAACTCCACCCTCCAACATCGACTGAGAATCTTCACAGATATTTGGGGACGTTTGAAAGTTGAGGGGATTCAGGGCAGCCCGAAGACATTAGACAAAACTCCACCCTCCAACATCCCCGTCCTGCCTTCCATCATCTGCCTCCTTAGGTAGCCTCATGGGAAGACCTGCCTTGCAGCTAATTTGTGGGGACAGCAAGGAACCAAGGTAACGAAACACTGGCACTACAATCTAATCCCCGTCCTGCCTTCCATCATCTGCCTCCTAAGGTAGCCTCATGGGAGGACCTGCCTTGCAGCTAATTTGTGGGGAGAGCAAGGAAACAAGGCAATGAAACACTGTCACTAAAACCTAATGATTCACTGATTCAGACCAGGAAAAAAGGGAATTACAAATAGGCAGCATCATTTGCATGAACTGTCCCAAATATTCCTCATTATCCCCCAATGTAAGAGACTTAAAAATACAATCTGTAGGTCCTACAATAAAAGCCTGAGATGCCTGCACTTTTAGGGAGGGGTAGGGGAATATGACTCCCTGGAAAAGACCCTAATGTTGGGAAAGTGTGAAGGCAAAAGGAGAAGGGGACAACAGAGGACGAGATAATTGGACAGTGTCACCAAAGCTACCAACATGAATTTAACCCAACTCTGGGAGGCAGTGGAAGACAGGAGGGCCTGGCGTGCTCTGGTTCATGGGGTCACGAAGAGTCGGACACAACTTAACAACTAAACAACAAAAAAAGGGGGAATAACTTTGTTAAGGCAGGGCAAAGCTCAGACTTTGAGAAATGGGTCATGGTGGTTAAACAATTATGCCGAGCATGTACAGAGGGCCATGCCATGGCTGAATAAGGCCACTGAGGAACCATATACTGGGACTGAAAAGCAAAACATGCAGTAAGATTGGGATGTGTTTTACATCACTCCTTTCGCTTCTAAACCCATCTCAGAAAGGATGCTAGTTCCAGCCTTTCTGCCTGTCTCTTTGCCCTGGAAGGCTTGCCGTCTGCGCTTCCCCACCCCACCGAACCACCAGCACCTCGCTTCATGTCCCCTCCCTTTTTCATTTAAACGTCTTAATAGGAAACACATTTTTCTTCCTTTTCTGGTGTTCCCACCAGAAACTTCAGACTGTCGGGCAAAGGTGAGAATTTTAAGCAATAAACTTGAGGCGACTTTTTCCCTCTTGGCGGGACCAGCTCACTTGTTGTTTTTTCCCCCTCTCCCTTCCTTCCTTCTCCCCCCCCTTTTTTTTCCAAGTCCAAAATGGTCCTCTGCTTTATCTGACAAGTTCAGTGAAATGGTAATTCTCTCCCCTCTTGCCTCCCCTCTGTTCTAGCCCCCCGTTCACCGCGCCAGTCTGCATTTTGGCTGCCTTGGCAGTCTGTTTAATCACTGGAAATCATGTCCCTTGGCACTTCTATGCCTGGCTGGTACTGATCCTGCTGAGCTTTGAAATCAGAATCCTCTTCCAGTACTCCTAGGGAAAAAAATGTGTCAGGGCTAAAGTATTTCCCTCACAGATATTTGAGAGGAAGAAAAACAAACAAACAAAGCACCACAAAGATAGGTGTGCATGGCCCTTAGACACACCCATCTACTTGGTCCAGTTTAAGTGGCCAAATGCTTTTTAACCGTCGCTATGCGGTTTTCATTATTTTCTTGCTTTTAGAAAGGAGAAGTTTGGGGATTTTTTGGACATATATTTTTTCAGACACTTTAGAATCTTGCCACCAAGATGTCCTGATTGGAGTGCTACTGAGAAAAAAAGAAAGAAAGAAAAGAAAAGAAATAATAAAACTAAATCCATTTCCCCCTATTTTGCTTTCTGGATTCTGTCCTTTTCCCAGCAAAAAGAAGCCAATGCCAGCCTTTGTAGGACAGAAGGAAACTGACTATAATCAGCAAAAGCTCCCTAGTGAGAAGCACGTTAATATTTTAAAGGTTGAGGGTGTTCGTATTTTGAATGTAGGGCATTCTCTTTGGACATGTTTGCTGCAGTGGATTCCGAGAAATCAAGGAAGCCCAAGGAACCAGGTCTTCTTGAAGAATTAGGGAATTTGGAAGATGGTCATGGGGAATTCTTTAATTTTCACGAGTGCTGTGCACCAGTCCTGGATAAATCCCAAATTACTAATATCAGCTTGGCTCAAACCAACTTATATGAGGTCTAAATAAAAGTGGAATCACCAGATTCAGTTCTGGAGATAAGAAAATTTATATATTTATTTGTGTCCAGGGCACACAATGAATGGTATGGGGTCTAAGATGTAATAGACCCAACTGGATGATTGCTTTGCCTTCAAGCATCAAAGAAATGTCCTAGGACCAAAGCCAATTTTATTATGAATGATGGATTTTTGCGGATTACCGCATGCTAACTTTAAAGGACAAATAAGTTATTGAAGGTGTATAGTATGTAAACCCTGGAAGGTAGCTGTCTGAAATTTAACAGAGTCATTCTCTTCCTTAGAGTTTATTACCAGACTTTATGTGCATCCATGGAATAATTAAAAAGTGATAGCCATTTTCGTTTTCCAGTGCAAGTGAATGGAGAGCTTACAATTCAGTTGGGATCCTGGACAAGAAATCAAATTGGATGGAGCAGAAATCACCACGGGCTAGGTTGAGATCTATTTAGGACCCCCAAATTGGTCTCCAGATGAGGCTGGATAATCTCCATATAGCTTTAATTTGAATGCTTACTAGGTTGAACAATCAAAGCAAAACTGTCTTGAAGAATTTGGTAAAGTTACTTGTTTGGATCACAACTCCCAGAGTTCCCCAGCCTGTAGGGTCATGATGGATGGAGAATCATGGGGGTTCTAGTCCAATAAAAATAACTTTCTCATGGTCTGATTCTCTCATTGTAGAAAACTAGACCATCAATAAAAAAGCTAGCATAGTCTTAGAAGCCACTGCCTTTCCATAGGTGAGGGTGTTTTTATTGATTTGCTTTGATTTATACCCACCTTTCCTCCCAAGTTGGGAATCAGGGTAGATGTTTCGAACAGAGCTTCGACTTATGAACGGAAAAAAAAACATGTACTTTTTAAAAGGTGGTCTGCCTTTTTTTAAGCTAAAAGGTGTTTGGTTTTGTTTAAAAGGTGCTTGGGTTAAAAGGTCTTGTGTTTAGAAGGTGTTCCCTCCCCCTCCTTTCCTGCCCTTTTTTTTAACCTAAATTCATGTGGCAGAGCACGGATTAACCGGCTTTGCATTAGTTCCTATGGGAACTAATGCCTCTACTTGCGAACGGTGCCTCTACATATGAACCAAAAACAGTCAGAACGGATTAAATGGTTTTCAGTGCATTCCTATGGGGAATTTTGCTTCGACTTAAGAACATTTTGACGTACGAACACCATTCCAATTAAGTTCGTAAGTTGAGGTTCCACTGTATTTCCTTCTGAGAAATAAAAAACAGCAAGGATCCCTTTTTAAAAAGAAATGACACCGGCCCTCTCATTAGGGAGAGTGGGCAAGCCACCTCAAGTGTCATGCATGAGGTTGGGGGAAAGAGAGTGGTGTTGAAAGAGAAGGCAGTGGGTGTTATTCAGCCTACCCTCCACCCCTCCGAAGCAAGCTCCCTGTTCTCCAGCATGGTGGAGGACCCTGTCGCCCCAGGAGGGTTGAAGGAAAGATTTGACTCTCACTCACCTCGATTCCCTAAGGCAAAAAGCCAGAGGGAAATGACTGCATCTTCACTTCTGGTTGCTAGATGTCTCGGGGCCGGTCCTGAAAAGGAATGCAGCTTCTTTGGCATTTTCGATGGAAAACCAGGGGGCTGAAAAATGCTCAGCGAATGACAAAAGCACAAAACATTCTTGAAATGCTTCAGCGCGAAACAGCCTCTCTGTCCTGTGCCTTTTTGCTGGAAAAGACCCCATGTTTCTTTTGCTTGGAGATGGATGTTGTTATTAGCATAGTTGTAATGCAGAGACTGGTCTACCCTTATGTTCGTTTCGCGACATCCTTTGCTCTTCTTAATCCAGTTTTCCACTCTTTTTACCAAACCAACCCTATTCTTCTTTTTCTTCCCCCGTCCCAGGTAGCTCCTTGCTATCCTACAACACCCCAGCCCATACGGAGCCGTCATCTCGACTCAGCACCAAGGAAGGTGAGATTCCCCTTCTTAACCTTGATATGCGCCTTATGAATTAATTGTCTGCCTCGTACCTTTAACATGAATGTGCCAAACAAATAAAAGAACTGGTGTTCAGTTTAAAATGTGTGTGTGTGCATGCGTGCATGCGTGCAAAACATCTGGAAAACACCTGGTTGAAGAAAGCTGACTTGAAGTCTTTTAGGTAGCCATCCTGATTGTTTTTTGGGGGCTTCTGCTTGCCTAGAGCAACAAACAAAGTTTACAAAATGAAGTTCCACTGGTATGACTTTCCACATACAGCACTCTGCTACTGCCAGCCCAGCTCCGACAAGGGCATTCTGGACTTTCGCAAACTCTTGCCTTTGTGCCCATCTGTTCCAGCCTGAGGCACTCCTTTTATATAAGTTCAACTCCATAAGAAAGTTGTGTCTCATTGTCCTGCTCGATTCCCACATCCTGCAGCAACTGACTCCATTTCCCCTAGCAATCACTTAATCTAAATCCCAGTTTCACCCAGGCTTTATAGGCCTAACCCGCTTCGTGTACTGAAGAAGCAAACGAAGTCTGTTTCAGTTTAGTGTTTGCCAACCTCAAGTGGAGGCTGAAAGCTGACGGCTTTAACTTTAGGAAGTTGAGGGTGGAGGAGACACAGTAAATCTCTTACGCCATGAAGTTACAGGAAATTCTCTAACTTTATTAAAACTGCACACACCACAACACTTACCTTCTTAAAAAATGGAACAGAAACCTGTAAAGTGTATGCATAGTGATAGAAGATAGTGGGACCCGGTGGCGGCGGTGGTGGTATAAAATTCTTAGTTGTGAAGAGAAAAACTGAATCTAAGAATGGTTCCTCGGTGGGTTTGGGCTTGGAGCCCCCAAAGGTGAGCTGCATTTCAAAAGTTACACAGCATTCCCAGTATAAGTTCAGGTTTGGTTTGGAGAGATCCTTGGGAGGGTGAGGGGAAATCAGAGCTGTCAGGAGAGAAGGGAAAACCTGCCGATTTCAATTTTGCTCGGTTTCTGTTTTTCTAGACTGTAAGTCTGTTTTGACCCGTTTTTCTATCACTCGGTGAAACTGATCTTTTAAAGTTGGCATGAAACGCTGTTCATGTTTCTCTGAAAGGGAGGTCTACTTTGCGTGGACTGGAAGGACTTCTCAGAGTGTACACACTGTTTGTCAGCCATTTTCCTTGATATACTATACAATGGTACCTCACAAGACGACAACTCTGCTAAATGACGAATCCGCATATTGATGAATTTTTGCAATCGCTATAGCGATTCGCAAAACAGTCATTCCTATGGGGGATTTTCGCTGGACATCGATTAGGTCCGTGCTTCGCGAACCGTTTGTTCACAAGACGATCATTTTTTTCCTATGATCGTCGGCTTCGCAAAATGGCTGCCCTGTGCATGGACCCATGCTTTGCAGGACAGCCATTTTTACAACTGATCAGCACTCGCAAAATGGATTCACTACGGGTGATCTTCGCTGGATGACGAGGTATTTTCCCCATTGGAACACATTAAACCGGGTTTCAATGCATTGCAATGGGGAAAGGGTTTTCACGTGACGACAATTATGCTAAACAGCGATTTCAATGGGCAATGCATTGCAATGGGGAAAGGGTTTTCACACGATGACAATTTCGCTAAACAGCGATTTCAATGGGCTGGATTATCATTGTCATGTGGGGCACCACTGTAATTGTGATAGTACTATAGCTCTTCCTAGACACAATCTGTGGCCTGCATTGAAAAAATCTGGAGAGTACAGATTTCGGCAAGACCTGGATTTGTAATTGTGTTCCTTGTTGTCTCTAGTTTCCACAAAGGCATCCAGATGGACATAGAGCCTGACTGTGGAGTGTGGCACTTTGGGTTAGCTGGTCAAGTTCTCAATGGGTTAGTCGGTCAAATCCACTTCCCTTCTCCCAAGCTTAATCTGATACCTACAGAGAAGAAGGAAACAAGACAGAAAATGGGGATAGTGCACTTTTGAGAGTATTCTCTACCTGGAAAATGTAATCTGATACCTACAGAGAAGAAGGAAACGAGACAGAAAATGGGGATAGTAAAGCACTTTTGAGAGTATTTTCTACCTGGAAAATGCTGAAAAGAGTTGCTGTGAGTCAGAATTGACTTGACGGCGCATGATGATCGTTACTAAGCGCCATCCTTTATCCTGCGGAATACTGAGATTTGTAGTTTGGTGAAATACTTAAATGTATCCTACCGGAGAGCTCAAGGACTCACTTTCCCTGAACGATAACACAAAATGCTCAGGCCGTGACAAATGAAAGTTCCCAGAATCCCATCGCATGGAGCCATATTGGTTAAAACCAGATTGAAATGCGGTAGCTGTGTAACCTAGATGCCCTCTAGAACTGATCTGGAAGCACCCTCTGAGTTTCTCAAGCGCACCTCATTGGCAGGGGAGGTGAGAAATCGTGTCAAAAGGAGCCTACACCTTGTGGGAATGGGGAGGAGAAGAACTCCATGTGAGCTTAAGGTTGCCTCCTCGCGTCTCCTGTAATGTGTAGTTTCACCCTTCCGAGGTTGAGGCTGCAGTGTACTTCACTCAACCATCTGCCTTGCTGTGCTCACACACACACACACACACACACACACAATGCACAGAGGATTAGTGCTGCATTTTGCAGGTGCTGCTTTTGTTAGCCACGCGGCTGCCGTCACCCACTTGAGCAGCCTGCTCTCAGGCACTCACCCCTTCTGAGCCACCCCGACTATCACAAGGGAGACAACCCACTTGCGAAGGCGCAACAAAGCTCAGCCTTGTGCTTTTGCTGGGCTGCGGCTCCTACTGAATACTTACCAGTTTAAAAAAATGATAAAAGATGGCTCAAACAAAGCAAATACACATACAAAGAGTTTCCATCTGCAAGGAATCACTGTATGCCTGTAAACCTCCTCACACCCAGCTCTGTCCCTGCTTTCTTTCCGCCACCAGACAGGTGCTCCTGCTTAAATAGAGGAAGGGAAAGCAGAGAGTGAGGAGCATGGACTGTAACAGTGACACTTCTATGGTTTTTATTTTTATTTTTTTGTTAACTCCTGTCACTCAGAGGTGCCCGTATTCTTCAACAAAAGCCATGGTTCTTTCACGGACAGCCCCTTCGAAAAGCTGCATTTTGTTGTTTTGTTTTTATTTTTGTTTGCTTCTTACAGCCTGCGCTCTGCTTGTGTGTAGGAAATCTTTCCCCGTGTTCACCTCCTTTAATGGAAACAAAGTAGTCATTGCAACCAACGTCCAGCAAAAGAGCAAAGGGCTAAAAAAATAAAGTGACCGTCAAAGACTCTTGATCCTGTTTGTCGAAAAACTAAAACCGGACAAGAGTATCTCCCTATCCTGTCCTTGCAGACGCTAAAACCAAAAGTATGTAGAATTAAATCAGCAATAATGGCTTGGCTCCCTGTTCTAGAAGTGAAGATTTGCACAACATAGCAGAGGGTTTCCAGGTTTGCTCAAATCAGTGGGAGAAATGGACCTCGTCTTCCCAAGGACATGTTGGACAACCAATCAACAGAGCAGGATAGACGCTTTCACAATAGATCCCACTTTGCCGGCCTCATGAAATGGTCTTAGAAACCACTAGGTTCATAAACATGTAAGATTCAGGGTCAATAACACGGGATATATTTTTTCTGTTCCAAAAAAAAACAAAAAACAAAAAAAACCAACCAGTCTGGCCAGAAGAACAAGAGGCATTCATAGTTGTGAAACATAAATTGTGGAACTTTGAAAACTTAACTTTTGGGTATGAAACGCTACAGTAGCTGGGGGATTCTGGAACTTGTGGTCTTGGAGGGGGGACTTTTCAGAGCCCTGAAATGGTCAACAGGACTGACTTCTACCATGCGACCCTAAAAACACCCAATATCATCTGATTTTGGATGCTATGCAGAGTTTGTGGTTGTTTGCACTTAGAAACAGAGGTGGGATTCAGCAGGTTCGCACCTATTCTATAGAACCAATTCCTAAATGTACTATTGGTTCTTAGAACCGTTTGCTGGCCTGAGATGAATGAAGGAGGAGGGGCCAGGTGACCAGCGACGAGTGGGGGGAGGGGGCGCAATTAGCTGCCTCCATTCCTGCGCCACACTGAGCCATCTGAGGTGGGGTGTGGGTGAGAGAGATAAAGCCCTGGAAAGAGCAGAGGCGTCAATAGGGGAAAGGGGGGGAGGATGAGTCCTTGAAGTCACTGGAGGAAAGCTCATGGCCTCAAGGCAGAGAGGGGGGGTGATTGACAAGGCATGAGGGCAGGACACAGAGGGCAAAAGTTTTGGGGTGAGACTGCTTCAGTCAAACACCCAACCGTCCTCATTTTACTATTTTTTTTTCAAGTTAAAGGTACCACAATAAGACTGTTGCTTATGTGGTACCTTTATTTTAAATGTCCTGGGCATTTATTTATTTATTTATTTATTTATTTATTTATTTATTTATTTATTTATTTATTTATTTATTTATTATCATATCATTAGGACATAGAACCTGTTGTTAATTTATTTGAATCCCACCACTGCTTAGAAACCACCAGGCAATACCAGAAATTTCCTGATAGAGTTCGGAAGAGAATCTTACTTAAACCTCTTCCCAGAGTTGATGAGTATGGATAGGGATGGCAGCGTCATTTTGTAGCAAATGACAAAAAACACAAAACAAACTTATTTTTTTCATGTTTGTTGTCCTTCATCCATTTCCCAAAAGAAAGTGTCTTAAAAATGAGTAATTTTAATTAATTTAATTAATCAGGGCTAGACAAAAGGGTTGTGCCTCTTTCATCTCCCCCCCCTTATTTTCGCTCTTTCTTGCACCCGCTGTATGTAAATGGCCTCATTAATTCCCCTTCAAATATCATTGCAACAGTTGGCTCTCAGCTATCAATCAGATCATCCTGGGGCAGGAATTTTGAATATCTAACAACTCCTGAGAAAGAACTGATTGGCTCGTAGTTCCTTGTGGGGTTGCCATGTTGGCCTGCTCT